ATCGGGGACACGGACACTCTCTGAAACGCCGCGTTTCATGACACCTGGCGTGTCGGTATACGATTTGCTAAGTGCCATGGGAGTATCGTGGACCTGTAAATTCCACTAAATTACTTATTTCACGCAGTGTTTTCTCACGGCAAATAGAAAAAAAAAACGTTTCGAAGAATATTTAGTTATAAATTTGGCTGTAGAAAGAAAGCTTTGAGTGATTTTCTTGTTTCGAGGAGTTCATCTTTGAAAAAAAAACAAACACCGGGAGGCCGGTTGAAAGTAAAACAAAATAAACTTAAGCTTAAGCTTTAAGCTTGAAGACTCAGGATTTTTAGAGACACTTTAATACTTGCCTTCGTGAATGAAAATTGTTGTCTCTGTAAATGTTTTACCGAATTATATTTCTTTTATTGATTGTTAGTAGTCTCTCTTGCAACTTTAATCGCTTGTCCGTGGTGTTTGTTTTCATCGTTCATGAACATCGCAGGAGTACTTAGAAATGTCGCGCGTATCAAACGCTTTATAAGATTACACATCGTTATAACTGGAACCATTAAAGGTCAAATGAACCAAAATTTCGACCTTTTTTGTTTTAGTTCAATATTAGTGAAATGTCTTTAATATGAACCAAATAAACATACTATGAAGTTTCAGCTCAATTGAAGCAAGCATCTCCGAGATATTTCCTATTAAATATTGCTGTTTTTTGGCCCTTATCTTCGTAGAGCGGTCGGAAAAATTGTCGGAAAAAACAGCTTGTGACGTCAATGTTGGTCAGGTGAAAAAAAGCGGGAAATTTCAAACAGAGTTTTTCGAGTCGACTTGGCGCAGAAGTGGCTTGTGCGGCCATAAACCTGGAAAGAACAGGCAATTTGTCTTCAAAAGTTGCAAGCTGGGGTTATAACCTTCTTATTAGTTAATTTTCTCGAAGAATACATCATAGTAAAACGGACTTTAACGACATTTACTAATTTCCTTGAGTTGTACTGGACATGTGCGTGCGTAAGTCCGATTTTTTTCAAGATGCATTCACAAAATGTGTTCATATAAGGAAGTTCCTGGATATATAAGGTCCGAAGCTGCACCGTGGACACAAAAACAAAATATCTTTGTACTATAATCTGCCCAAAGAAATTCAAGTTTGCCCCCAATGTGTTTGAAGTCACTGAACTTTGTCGCACTCGAGCTGATATTTTAAAACCTACGCTCGATCGGACACTCCATGGACACTTCTAGCTTCGCAGATCACTAAAATATAAACAAAATCCTCAATGCAGAAGTTTTGGCGTTTATATGTGGGCAGAAAAAGAGTTAATCATTATGATAATCATTATCTAGTAAAACTTCCCCAAGACCGGTTTCAAAGCAACCATAGTTTTTTAAACTTGATCGCTTCGCGCAGATTAATTTTGCTTTCTGTTGTCAAGTTGAACATGCATAACTCCTGTCAAAAACCTACGCGTAAGTAATATTTCCTTCAAACAAAGTTAAAGTTACATTATTGCAAAAACTTCTTTCCAATTATGTATAAGATTTAATTACCGATTGAGGTCACTTTAAGGACCATAGACGCCACTTTAAGCTGGCAAAGAGATGCGACAAGCAAAGAACAATTCCATCATGCATAAAATTCGGCTTCAGTGATCTAAAAAAAACTTCAACAAGGTTGCAAAACAACAAATTTTCATTAAAAAACATAAGGCTTAAGGCTCTTATACCTGGCAAAGAAGAAGTGAATTTTCTGTACGGAAACAACCTACCTAAAGATCTTAAAAGCAAAAGATCAGTTGCAAGCTTCGCAGCCAAGCCATGATTCCGACTACTTAGCTAGATTAATTAGTACTTTTAATAACTAGTCCATGCGAGGGTCTTCATTCAAGTAAATTAAACTCAGCAAACTGAATCATTAGGAAATACAGAAAACTGCACATAAGGATTTGTTTTGCTCGCTTCAGTCAAATCCACCTCCAGCAATTGTTTACAGGCACTGAAGAGTCAATTGTTTTGGAGTCAATGCCGACAGTTGTCGTTCTCCGCTAATTCACAGCGAGTGAAAGGAAAATTTGGGTACAGAAAGATAACAAAACTTTGTAATTAAAACTGAAAAAACTAAAGGAAAAAAACTACCACTATTATTACTTGAGCAACAGAAAAATGGTCGAAGTAGTCTTTTCTTCTCGAGTACGCTTACCGGCCTTCTAAAGTTCCGAGGAAGTTTTAAGCGCTCAAGTTTGTTCACTCGCAAGCGTTAGCATTACGGTTCTTTGACATAAGACAAGGATAAAGCTGGTTCTGCAAAGGTAAATAAATCTGGGCGTGTAAAAAAACTAAACGTAAAACCTAAAAATAACAGAATACAAGCGGGTTTTAATTCAGTCCCGCGAAAGAAGGCGAAGCACTGGACACAAAACCAATTCACAAATCGAATACACAATTATCAGAAAAGTACAAACCTCTTTGGAAATGTTCAAAACGTTTTATTCCTCCTCAGACTGACGGATGATCTGTTTTTACTCTAACATTGGTTGTTCTGAATCCAAAGTAATTTTCAAGTGACGAGAAAACAACAACAACAGCAAAAACAACAAAAAAAAAGCCTTTACAAGGAGCAAACGTTCGCACCTCGTGTATTTCATTCAGTCTCAGTCAGAACTCTCACAGAGCACGACGCAGGCGATAAGGGATGCGCAGAAGCTTGCGCAGAACGTTTTTCCGCCCTGAAAGACCAACATTGACGTCACGTAGTCTCCAGTCTATCACGCGGCCATTTCAGAAACGTTTTCGTGAAGTCTTCGGAAATGCTCGGATTTTGATCTTTTATCTTTCTATAAAGGCTTGGGAAGAAAAATCTTTACCCAAACCTCACTTAGGATGGTTCTTTTCAGTGTTTGGTGAAGGTAAAGCGACAAAAGAAAACATGTCAATTTTTTGGTTCATTTGACCTTTAAATAACAAAAAATAATGATAAAAAATTCGTTATTATGGTGAAGCGTACCTCCATTAAAGTTCATTCAAACACTCGATCACACTGACAGCTCGCACTAAAAATGAGAACCGGCTGGCCGTATGGGTGATTTTAGAAATTTTTTGAACGGTTTCGCTAAAAGCCCACGATTCTTCGTTCTGAATATTGAAAAATTGGCAAATGCCGTATTCTGTCCGAGGTCTGTATGATAAAAAGTACTGTTTCACCTCAGATGTGATGTATAAAAAGTATAAAAAGCTGGATTACACACCCTCAGATTTGTTGGCAAGGATTTGTAAAGTAAACCTGTCGAACGCAAAAAAATGCGGCCTGATTTGTTTTCCAAGAATTTGTTTTCGAGGCCTAATCTACTGTGATCAAGAACCATTATGGGTCTTGAATGTGATAGAAGATGTTTGCTATTTTTTGGGTGTACATATATTTAGGCTATCAACTCGATGTAAGATGTTTCACTCTAAAATAACTTATCCTTTCCCTCAAAAGTCACATGAATGTGCCCTTAAGTTAACTGATTTGTGGATTACAAGTTTATTGTTTGATTTAAAATATAAATTTATTAATGGGAGCTTCGCTTTTAGCCCTGGCTAAATCTATATATTACAGTTATGGATGGAAGCGAAGCTGGAGTTGACCTTGTTTTGACACAAACCTTCCTGCTTTATCATGTAAATCAAGTTATTCTTATGCTAACTAGTATTTTTCAAGGACAATTTCCATAACAAAGCAAAGAAGGTTTGTATTAAAACAAGGTCACCGTCAGCCTCACATTCACTCGAAGGCTAGGGAGCTAAGTCCACAACTGTAAAATGGTCTATTGAAATTTATGCAGTAGTGATGGGGTCTTGTTTATGCATTTTTTTGCGTTGTTCTTTTAGAATAATCTTTATACTTATACGTTATGTGGCTACTATTGCAATGAAAGCGTTTTATGATGAAGCGCTAAGAATTGCTTTCAAACACTGCTACGATTTTCAGCTGGTATCAATCGACTGAGCTACAGTGTTCATGCAAAGTATTCATCGCGCTAGCCGACCGCATGGCATAGCTTATTTTATTATAGTACGCATTTAGCTGGCATTTTAAGCAAAACGTTTGCCTCATTCGATACTGTGTTTTGATCACCGGTCAGGAGCTATTTGCAGGCATTTCTAAGTTTATATAGAGCAAACAGGGAGATCAGTAAGGTTTGTTTACAAATTATTTTTGTTTGCGGATCGGAGACTTCTTTTCCAGCGTGGGTACGTAAAAATACACGTAAGTAAATGTTTGTTTCAAAGCAGGACAGGGTTGTTAATCATATTCTTATCAGCTGCAACATTTATCTGAGGAATACCAGAGAAAAAATATGAATTATGGGGATATATAAAATCGAACAAAAACTTCCGGAGGACTCCCGCTTCGCGAACAATGTAGATTTCCTCGCGTGCATCTTACTCGCTTCAGATTGGTTCAAAGACAATCAGCTACTGTCACAGCTCACACATGCGCACTACCGTGACACAGTCCCTTTAACCTTGAAATTTTGTTTATAAAAACCGGGATGAATTTCAGCGGGATTTTTGAGTAAAAGCATTTTATTTTAGACCCGGGATAAACTTAGGACAACTTTTGCTGGTTACGTGCCGCTTGCTTCTCAGAACCTCTAGTCCCTTATAGTTTATTTTGTGGCAAACTATGGACTCATCTTAGTCAGTTTTGGATAAATTGGATAAATGTAAATTTCGTATGGATATAATGAAAGCTGATCATGCACGTGTTAAATGTAAAAACAAAGGCATTAAAGATGCCGCAGCAGTTTTTTTTCTTCCCATTTTTCTTCCCAAAATACCTATTGCCAGAACTTGCTCCTAAAGTCTGGAAAATGTTCGACCCCATTCGAGTAATTTTTTTTCTGGTGGCAAATTCTCCATTTAAAACACCAGGCTCTTTAATCCCAGCTTCCAACCGCGCACAGCCTCGCGTTTTAAGAGCACTTCAGCAGTTTGCGAAAAGCGGTTCTGAATTTTTCATTTCTCCACCCGTAGGTAAGAGGATTACAGATGGTGTTTAAGCCTGTTGCTAAGTCAAAAACAATGAACTTAATTAACTTTCTCTTTGGGTGGCAACGTTCGGGAAGTTCGCCGAAAAAGCGAAGGCCTGTCACGATTATCAGTGGGACGATACTGAGAAGGCAGACGGCTACAACAATAGCAAGAGTACTGGCGCCTTTTATTTCGTGCTTGATGGCGGTAGCCATTCCTGGAATGTTGTTTTGTCCCCTTATATTTTTCCTTTGTTTGTAGGAGACGATAAAGATGTAACCATATGAGCACAAAATGATTACCAAGGGGATGACTAGCAAAAACATTAAAAGAAAGATGAGAAGCCTTTTCATTAACGGAGTAAGATCGTGATCCAAAGGATCTTCAGGGTTTTTACAGTGTGGATCCATCGCTTGGCGAAACCGTTCAATGTCTCTACTGTTTGCTACAAGTGTCGTTGCAAAAGTTATCGTAACGGTCGCAGCAAAAAACAACATCGCCAAGGCAACGATCAGTGCTCGAGGATTGGTCACTATGGTGTGGTATCTTAAGGCGAACTTCACGGCGATTAAACGTTCTACGCTTATCAACGCGAGGTGAAGAATTATGACGGAGATGAGAAAGAAGCTGGATGTTGAGGTTATTTTTCCAAGAGGACCGGAGCTACACTCAGCATCACAGCCGTTTAACAGTCTAAGACTCATTTGGACGATGCCGAAAATCAAAGGAATCGCCAGTAAACCGTCAGCGGTTGACAAACTTACCAGAACAACGTTAGAAGCAGTTCGAAGACTATGAAATTTGTGAAACGCTCTTATCACAAGATAGCTACCGAAGACGGCGGCGACAGTGAAGATGAGATGAATGCTCATAACCGAAATTATAATTACTGTTTCCTTTGCCAGGCTGAGGTTTTAAGCAGGGCAATACGTTTCGTTTAGCCCGTATTTAACCTGGTTACAAGACAAATTGCTGGCCATGATGTGTTTTCAGACTTCAATGCGGGTTAAAGTTAATTATAGCAACAAGACCAGCAGATCGTAGAATGTGGTTTTCCTCTCTAAATTATGCTCAGCTGACTTTTATTTGAATGGTAACAGGGTTAAGAACTGTCAGCTGTATGCAAAAGGTCAGAATCAACACGCGGCCCATAAAATCCACACAACAAGAAAATGACAACTATTCTTCTATTCGTAGTTCTACCAGTTAGTAGTTAGTTCGATACACTCTTTTTTATTTTTTCCCGCTTGCTTGCACGCTGCCTCTCAACTACGCGGACTCCTTTTTAACACAGACGCATACGCGCAGACAAAACCAACTGGCCGGACTAATTCTGATTGGTTTGCGCATAACACAAGATCGTGTAATTGCTGTTATCGGACAAGGTTNGAATCGCCAGTAAACCGTCAGCGGTTGACAAACTTACCAGAACAACGTTAGAAGCAGTTCGAAGACTATGAAATTTGTGAAACGCTCTTATCACAAGATAGCTACCGAAGACGGCGGCGACAGTGAAGATGAGATGAATGCTCATAACCGAAATTATAATTACTGTTTCCTTTGCCAGGCTGAGGTTTTAAGCAGGGCAATACGTTTCGTTTAGCCCGTATTTAACCTGGTTACAAGACAAATTGCTGGCCATGATGTGTTTTCAGACTTCAATGCGGGTTAAAGTTAATTATAGCAACAAGACCAGCAGATCGTAGAATGTGGTTTTCCTCTCTAAATTATGCTCAGCTGACTTTTATTTGAATGGTAACAGGGTTAAGAACTGTCAGCTGTATGCAAAAGGTCAGAATCAACACGCGGCCCATAAAATCCACACAACAAGAAAATGACAACTATTCTTCTATTCGTAGTTCTACCAGTTAGTAGTTAGTTCGATACACTCTTTTTTATTTTTTCCCGCTTGCTTGCACGCTGCCTCTCAACTACGCGGACTCCTTTTTAACACAGACGCATACGCGCAGACAAAACCAACTGGCCGGACTAATTCTGATTGGTTTGCGCATAACACAAGATCGTGTAATTGCTGTTATCGGACAAGGTTTGCTTCACTGTTTGACATGTTAATCAAAAGGATAAGAAGAAAACGACTTTCTTAAAAGCATTGAGAGTTCGAAGTAGCCAACGTTTGCCATACACTACCTTTTTACTCTCACGAGAATTAAATTTCGCTATTTTCGGGATTTGGGAAAAATCGCGAAATTTAATACCAGACATACACATACGCATAAAATAACGAAATTCAAGATGTTGCTTTATTAGTTATCCCAACAAGTTTATCAGAGTGTAGATCAGTTTACTATGTAACCATTTGTGGGTACTTACAGTCAAAAACTATTCATCACTTTCAAAAAACACGCGCGAAATTTTTACCTCCGTTGTGCACACTATCAACAAGAAAACTTGATGCAGGGCGTTCGTTTGGTCAATAAAGGTTGGGCTGAGATCATGCCCTCTCCCTATTATCCCTTTATGTCTCTCACGCCCTTGGAAAAAAAAAAAAAACGCCTGATCGCTGGTTAAATAAAGGTGGGAACAACTAGCAAAAATAGAAACAAAGGAACATCTACCAAAAGCACGAAAAAGAAAGTCGAAAGTCGCCATAATTAACGGGCCCGGTAAGCTGTCTCCGTTTACATTAAAGATTGAGGTTTCAATAGTTTTCCATCTAACATAATAAAACAATCAGTTAATGAAACAAAATGCAGTAGTTTGCAAGCCAGGACAGGCGCTCCTATTCTTTATATTTCGGTTTGAATATTTGATTTCGGGCCCGAAAAGTTACCGGGACTTTCGAGAAACGGGCCTCTGGACCCCTGGGGAAGTCTCTCCAAACTAGAGGAAATGTTTTAATTTGCTAATGAAGGTGTCTATTTTGCTAATTTTTTTTTTCGGTATTTTAAAAATTTTATAACTTTTTGCTGATATCCATAAAACCTATACTGCAATAAAATCCAGCTCCGGATCGAAAAGTTAAGAGGACCTTCGAGTAACAGGTCTTGCTCGTGTTAATATAACGGCGTTATGAGTTCGCCTGGCTGCAAACTGCGGCCCACTTCTTAACTCATGTAGCTTTTATCAAGAACGAGAAGTCCAAAGACTACTGCAAAGCTGATTCAGAACAACGGGTATTGTTTTGTCATAAAAATATTTCGGCTGGCCATACCAGCCTTCTTTAGGTTTACAGATGTTACTGTTACAGATGTTACTTTTTATCAACCATTCACGTTTTGGCGCCCTCCAAAGTTCATTTAATTCCTCGAATCTCAAATATGTATCGATGGTAAGTGTAAANAAGTTAAGAGGACCTTCGAGTAACAGGTCTTGCTCGTGTTAATATAACGGCGTTATGAGTTCGCCTGGCTGCAAACTGCGGCCCACTTCTTAACTCATGTAGCTTTTATCAAGAACGAGAAGTCCAAAGACTACTGCAAAGCTGATTCAGAACAACGGGTATTGTTTTGTCATAAAAATATTTCGGCTGGCCATACCAGCCTTCTTTAGGTTTACAGATGTTACTGTTACAGATGTTACTTTTTATCAACCATTCACGTTTTGGCGCCCTCCAAAGTTCATTTAATTCCTCGAATCTCAAATATGTATCGATGGTAAGTGTAAACTCGCTAGATATAACAAGGATCATGTAAATTGTCATACGCTCTGAAAGCATCAATCGTAGCTCACACTCGCAAATTATACTGACGAGATGCCTGCATGGTTTGCATTCCTTCGGGAAGTGCGCCACAATCTTGTTTGAGTTTGTCTATGACAACTTGACTTTTAGAAAACGAGGACAAGTAGTCTTTTTGTTTTAGAAGAAACCAACTAGCAAACTAACTTTCATTCTATACCAGGTTTTGATGAAAATTTGTAAAAAAAGAAGCCTTTTAAGACCTTTTAATTTATTCACATCTTGAATTTACAAAACGTTGAGAAAAAGAACAAGAAAAACCAGGTTCAACTCATCGCAAAAATTAGTTCTTGTAAAATATAATACAAAACACGCCCATTCGCAAAAAACAAAGTGCCACAGGGCGTAGACATGCGATTAATAAACGAGGAAGGCTCTGTTTGTTCAGCATATTGCAATAAGACGACGTTTTTAGTCATGGAAAGCAGTTATTTTTGGTAAAGATAAGAGCTGGATACAAAATGTGAAGCGGAGCTCTCGCGCGAGAAGCGCACGCAGCGGAGCACCATGGGTAAGAAAATGTGGCAATCACGTGACCGTACGTCCAATGTAACAATAACAGTCATACCAATGTAAAATAACTCAATCAACAGTTATGGCAACCCAAATGCAACTCAAGGCTATTTTGGGGGGAAATCGCATAGCCACCCGCAGTTTGTAAAGCAGAGACAACTAAAGAGTCAATAAAGAAGAAAACGGAAAGAGGAAATTGTTTCTGTATCCGTGTTGTCTAAAGTATTAAGCTTAGATTACTTGTCATGTCCACAAATTTGGAATATAGGGCTAGAGAAAGTAGGCGGCGGGCCATCGAAGCTCAACCAAGAAGAATGGCGACAGAGATCTAGAGCGAGAGATAAAAAAGAAGACATTTTTTTGTTGGAAGAACAACATGAAAATTTTGTAGCGGCAGTGAGATAAGAAAATGAGAAATGCTAGCCGCCACCAATGCAAGGTGAAAATGAGAGGCACTGAAAAAAGAAAAAGAACGAGAACACGTGCGACAACATGTAACTAAGAAGTTTCTGGAAGTTTCACGTTGTAGTCGTGCAAAACAACGACAAAGAAATGTACAAAAAAAGTGAGTTGCTTTTTTGTTACATAGACATATTGTTGTTTTATTCACTGTTCTCCGGCGTTGCCTTCGCCGCTTAGCATTACACCATTTTATATTTTATTTGAACAAACTATAAATATTATCGAGAGCTTCGCTTTTAGGCCTGGTTAAATCTATATATTATTCAAGTAATTAAGCTCTGTCTTGGAAAAAGGCAGTACCTTCTTGATATCGACCAGCTGTCCGGCAGCGGACTGATAAATGCCCACACCCGGGGCACACTCAACAAATTTTTACAAGAGGAGGCTCCGCCCCGAGGTCAAACGCCTTAACCTTTCATTACCAGATATACTATTTTTGACACAAAAGGTACCCCTTTCGTAGACCCTTCTACTGGCAAATGGTACCCCTTTCACATAGCTAGTTTAGGGCGCAGCATTGATTTGAACCGCTGTAAATGCACTGTCCTTAATTGTGAAAAAATAACGAAGCCGGGGAGTTTTCTTGAGTTCTTCACAGCCAAAACATGTATCTCGGTTGGCCCTTTTGGGTCCTTTTAGCAGCTCAGCCGAAATGACAGATTTCCCTAATTAACATCCCTCTCACTTCTCAGCCGACAGTAAAAATTTTGACAAATTCGCAGTGAATCAGTGTATGTCCTCCACTGGGCCTCTTCCAAAAACCTTTTTTCACTAGATCTGATCATAGAACATATAATAAGTCTCTTTTTTTACTCATGCAAAAGGATACGTTTGTTATAAAATTTGACAACTTACATTCGTGCCACTATACTATTATTATACATGAAATGAATAAGAATTTAACACCATGTAATTCCTACGTAGGGCTCGTTATTTGAGTCCAGTTAGCAGGTAGAAACCTCTTAAGCGATTGTCAGTGGCTTACAAAAGGAAGTTTGGTCTCGTCTGGTACCTGATACTTGGCCAATTTGCCTTAAGCAAAAGAATACAGTTACTGTACAGTTAATCTTGGAAGCCTAACAACGTTTGCGCACTAACCTCACTTAGCAGCATTTCAGTATCTTACGAAAAGCGTTTCTAAATTCTTCATTTTTCCATCCATAGATAAGAGGGATGCATATGGCATTCACAAAAATGGCCACGTAATAAAAGATTTGCTTCAGTAGCTTTTGACGGCAGCGGTCTCCGAGTGATTTGCGGAAGACTCGGAGGAAAGGCACAGCCAGCATAGGGATGATACTGAGCAGACACAGCGCTACAACAATGGCGAGAGTGTGGGCAACTTTCATGTGATACTTGACGGTGGACATTCCTGGAATGTTACAGCCTTGTTCTCTGACAAGTTGTCTCTGCTTGTAAGACACCATGAAGATGTAGGTGTACGAGCATAAAATGATCAACACGGGGACAACGCACATTGACACAGCTTGGAATACAAAAAGAGGCGGTTTGATCTGCTCTCTGAAATCTTTGCCTGTTGTTGCTCTCTGAAGCACCTTTGGGACAGCCACAGTAACGACCAGAGCCCATAGCCACATCACGATGGAAACAATCCGTGCTCGACGTTTGGTCACTATGGCCTGGTATATTAAAGCGAACTTGATGGCAATGAACCGTTCTGAACTCATTAAGCTGAGATGAAGAACAATGACCGAAGGGAGGAACAAGGTGACAGTTCCGCGTACTCGTTTAAGAATACATGAAAGATTCCCACCATTATAGTCAAGGCATAACTGAATGATATCAAGAATCAAGGGAATCGCTAGTAAGCCGTCGGCGATAGACAAACTCACCAGAATGTTGTTGGAAGCAGTTCGCAGGTTCCGAAATTTGTGAAACGCTCTTATCACGAAATAACTCCCGAGCAAAGCAATGATTGTGATAATCCCATGAACGTTCAACAGTAGAATCAATGTCCGCTTCGTTAAGGGGTCGCAAGTCATGCAATTCTTCAGTGTTTCATTCATTGCGGAAGGAAAATTGTGCCACTTGTGTTGTCTATACAGTTCGGAACACTTACTCCTACCACTGTTGTTCCGTTTCGTATCATAGTCAAACTCTATAAATATTCATTGGTCAGCTATGGCCAGGTGAAATCAACTCTGTATATGATAGCTATAACAACTATTGATGATGTTCCTTTTGTTTTAATAGCGTCAAAACAAAATACGACGCATCTGGAATAAAGGTAAAATTAAACCATTTCTATAAACCAAGATCCAAAAAAGGCGATTGTCCATAAAATATGCAGGTTTATGTAAGGTAACTGCCTTAATTACCGCCTTCTAAAACGTCAAACTCTACATTTCCTTGCAAGTTCATTGAGAATCCGTTAAGAAAGTAAATAGCTAGCATGTCAAAATTGCATCGTATAAAGTTAAGAAAATAAAACTAGTTATCACGCAGTAATTTTTATACTGACTGCGTTGAACGGTGAAATGAATAAGTACAAAGTCAAATAAT